GCACTTGGGATGAGGCTGAGAAATCTCCCTGCCAAATGCTGTTGGATGTGCTCATTCCCAAGGCCCTAAGTGTGTGTTTGCATGGAATATCGTTGGTGGAAGTGTTTAAGGTGCAGATAAAATTGGGGGGCAGGTTGCCACAGGAATGCGGAAATGGGACCCTTGACCCGCACTCCCTGACTTGTCCACCCCCTAAGGTCCTATGTGCATGTTTGTGTGATGGTGTGAGGGAGCAGGAGGAGAGAAATGTGTGGGAATGGGGAGGAATGGCTGGTTGGGCTTAGCCCTCCAGGGAGCCAGCTCCCCCACTGGCCCCAGTAGGCATCTCTGTTGTCAAAATGCCACCCAGAGCATGAAGACCCCAGCCCATCCTGCCAGTGTCCAAAGCAGCAGCATCACAGAGCCTCACGAAGTCTGAGGGCACCAACCCAGACCCACCCCAGCAGAATATCTGGGCCCATCTCTGCATTTGCACAACTTCCGGACTATAAAAGACATAGGGCATCCAGGTAAGGTTGGGTCCTCCCCCTCCTGGACTTCCCCCTCCCCTGTGATGGGACAGCAGAGGAGCCAAGGTCTACCCGGGGCTCCTGAACCCGAGTCAGACACTGCTGCATGTTCCTGCCTTCTCCCTGGCAGCATACATGTCAGGACCTGACCCCCAAGGCCCCGCCCAGATCCCCCCACGGGGCCGGCCACTCTCACACCCCGAGCCCCCAGGCTCCCACCCAGACCCACCCAGGGGCAATGCAGCTGCCGGGCAGTAACCCATGGCTACCACCAAGACCTCCAAGGGGCCCCACTCACAACCGCCAGTCCACCCCCCGAGGCAACCCAAGCACCTCCAGAGGGGGGCAACGGCCCTCCTGTCCCAGACACCCCCACTGAACCCACCTCCAAAGAACGCCCAGATACTCCAAACTCAGACCCTCCACCCCATCATCCACATCATCCCGCAGGACAATATCAATGATCCCCCATCATCGCTATGTGATGGAACTGATCAAAGGAGCCCAGAGAGATTGATTTGAAGTGGAAGCAGAGGCTAAATCAAGTGTAATATGATCTAACAAAAGATTTCTATACTGGTTAATGCAGAGTTTCTCTATTTTTCCAATTCATGTGGATAGTTTTCTTAGCGATGCATATGGCAGTCAGAACCACGTGAGCCAAAGATGTTTCAATCGGGACATCGTCCAGGTTTCCCAGTAAACAAAGAGAGGGGGTGGTTGGGATATGACATTTCAGACACTTTGACAGGTCTTCACATACTCTACCCCAAAATTCCTGGATAGGTGGACAGGACCACTGTGCATGAATGTAATTGTCAGGAATGTTGTTTGTGCAGTGTGTACAGGTGTCAGACGACACAAACCCCATCTTGAACATCCGATGACCTGTATAGTGTACTCTGTGTAGAATTTTGTACTGAATTAATTGTAAAGTGGAGTGTGTGATCATTTTAAAAGTTTTTAAACAACTTTGGGACCAGAAGTTCTGGTCATAGCTGACTGATAGATCCACCTCCCATTTTTCAATAGGGATTACTATTCTATTGTCTATTTTGGACAGTGTCTTATATACTTTAGACAGTAGTTTGGGGGGTTGAGATTATAGAAGTCTAATACCCTTGGTGGTGTTTGTAATTCTATTTTATTGAGCTTAAATTTTTGTTTGACTACAGATTTAATTTGGTGATATTCTAAAAAGCAATTCTTATCCATTCCAAATTGGGAGACTATTCTATTAAATAGGATGAAGTCCAATCCTTCATATATGTGTTCCAGGTATAGGATTCCTTTATTTTTCCAGTCCGGAAGGTTCATCATTTTATTATTTTGCAAAATATCAGGATTATTCCAGATAGGTATGCATCTGCTAGGTACTAGTGAAGACTCTGTCATTTTTAGATACTCCCACCATGCTGTCAGAGAGGTGCTGATACTAATACTTTTGAAGCTTTCATGTTTTCTTATGCTTGAGCTAATAAATGGTAAGTCTGAAAGCTCTATCGCATTGCAAAGTGTCTGTTCTATATCTAACCAGGACTCATCTAGTGGGTTATGTTGCAACCATCTTGGTATATATTGGAGCCTGTTGGCTAAGAAATAATAATAAAAGTTGGGTAAATCCAGTCCTCCTTTGTCTTTGGTCTTCTGAAGTGTTTTTAAGCTAATTCGTGGAGGTTTATCCTGCCAAAGGAATTTAGTAATTGAGGAGTCCAAAGATCTAAACCAGTCAGCTGGTGGTTTGTTTGGGATAATTGAAAATAAGTAATTTATTCTGGGTAAGACCATCATTTTAATTGTAGCAACCCTCCCCATGAGTGATATTGGTAAGGATTTCCATCTTGCAAGATCATCTTCCACTTTCTTTAAAAATGGGATGTAGTTTAGTTTAGTTAGATCTGCTAACTTGGGAGAGACATTAATTCCCAGGTATGTGATATTTCCTGACTCCAATTGTGTATTAAGCAAATTGACAAATGAGAAATTAATTGGTAGAACTGTGGATTTTAACCAGTTTATAGAGTAATCTGAAACTTTTGAAAAATAGTTTATCAGTTCTATTGCTTGGGAGAGAGAGGATTGAGAATTCTGGAGAAAGAGTAAAACATCATCTGCATACAGACTGATCTTATGTTCTATTTTCTTACACTTTATCCCTTTAATACCTGTTATATGCCTAATTGCTGCTGCTAGTGGTTCAATAAAGATAGCAAACAGTGAGGGGGAGAGTGGGCATCCCTGCCTGGTCCCCCTCTGAAGACAGAAGCTAGCTGATATTTGGTCGTTCCTCCTTAATCGTGCAGTTGGCGAACTGTATAATGTTTGTAGCCAGTTTATGAAGAAGTTCCCGAAGCCAAATTTATGTAAAGTTGCAAATAAGAACTTCCAGTTAACTCTATCAAAAGCCTTTTCTGCATCTAGAGATAATATACTAGTTTCTATGTTTCTACTGTAAGAGAAATCTATCAAGTTAAGTAATCTGCGTGAGTTTGTGGATGACTGTCTACCTTTAATGAAACCAGTTTGGTCAGGGTGTATTATGAAGGGGGTTACCTTCTCTAATCTTTTGGCCAGGGCTTTACAAATTATTTTGAGATCAACATTAATAAGGGAAATTGGGCGATAGCTGGTAGGAAATGCAGGGTCTTTGCCTGGTTTTAACAAGAGACTAATATTGGCTGAATTCATGTTTGGCTGTAATCTGCCGCTCTCTTCGATTTCCCTCACCATTCTGAAGAATGTTGGAGCCAGAATGATCCAGAATTCTTTGTAGAATTCTACTGGGAACCCGTCTGGACCTGGAGCTTTCCTATTGGTCATGGATTTAAGGGCTTCCTGGAGCTCCGCTGATGTTAGTGGCGAGTCCAGGACTGTAACTTGGCTGTCTGATAATTTAGGAAGTGTTATCCTGTCAAGGAACTCATTGATCTCATTATCTGATGGGTTTATCTGTGGTGAGTACAAAGTTTGGTAAAAGTCTCTGAAAGTGTTGTTTATTCTTTCAGGGTCATTAACTATATTCCCAGTTGAGTCTTTAACAGCAGATATGGTAGTTTTCTCTTTATTTATTTTTAACTGGCTAGCCAAAAATGTACCTGATTTATTACTATGTTCAAAGTTTTCTATTCATAGTCTTTGTGCTAAAATTTGTGTCTTTTTGTCAATAATTCCATGAAGTTCTAATTTAGCTTCACGTAATTTGCTCATTGACTCTTCTTCTGTGGATGCCTCTAAAGACTTGATGATTTCCTCTAACTCCTGAATACGTTTGTTTTCTGTTTTTTTCTTATGTGATGAGAAAGAGATGATTTTACCTCTCATCACTGCCTTTCCTGCCTCCCAGAGAATAGATGCTGATGTTCCAGGCAGGTCATTATGTTCTAAATATAAAGCCCACTCCTTTTTAAAAAATTCTATAAAACCTTCGTCTTTAAGCAGTGATGTATTAAACATCCAGTTTTTGCTTGGTGGGATTGTCTTCTTATTTACCAGAGTTAAAGAAACCGGAGCATGGTCGCTGACAACTATGGGGTGTATCTCAGTGTCTGAAATGTCAGCCAACAATGAGCTGCTGACTAGAAAATAATCCAAACACGAATGAGAGTGATGGACGTGTGAGAAAAAAGTAAACTCTCGGGGGTGGGAGGCTGCGGGCGGGCCTGTGGTCAAGCAAACATATTTCATGTTCAGCTGTCCGCTGAGGTGGATATGTAATTGACTATTTGTAAAATGAATGTTGTGAAAAACTTGTTGAAATTAATTTCATTCATTCCTAAAGATGAATGAAAAATGTGTTATAAAATAAATCATAGTTGAAGATTTCATAATTCATGCATGAAAGGGTTAAAATCCAAATTTTTCTCAGTGGCCCTAATCCTCTTCCGTACATCCGTCATTTAACTCATTCACCGCCAGCCATTTCCTAATTGGTAAAGCCCTTCGCTGCCAGCGTTTCTCACCGTGTAAGAGTCATAGAACGTTGCATGCTAGGCTGATGTCGACGCCAAAACAAAGCGGAGCCTCACCTCTTACATCAGGAAGAATCTGCGTGTTTCGAGCGTTATCCGTTCTTTCATAATCCGTTGTTGGAATTGTGATCGGCAGAAGCTTTTACGGTTCACGCCTCACTTTTTTTACAGCAGCGGCCCAAAACGATCTCTTAACATATGGATGTTCTGCTTCCTGATCACGTGATGTGTGACGTATGCGGAGGAAGATCGGCTTTAGAGCTGAGATGTTTGTTCTCACGGTGCGGGGGCTCGTTCCGATGCCCACACAGTAAAAAAATGCAAATGACGACTTTAATCGTCTTTGGCAGTGAACGAGTTAATTGATTAAAATAGGACTGAATCTAAAACAAATTGGATGGCTAAATCTGGATTAAGATTAAAAAGAAGCTAAAGACTACGACTAAAATTACATTAAAGTTTCTGGGTGGATTGGAAAGTACATAGGGTCATAAAAACCAGCTCAGTTAAAGGAAGACTGAACAAAGATTTGCAATGCTTTTACTTAACATTTGAACTAATCAACTTACAGATAAACAAAGAGTTAACAAAGAAGCACTAGCCACTAGTTCATGAAATAAACATGAAAACAATTAAGACAGTCATGTCACAGTTCATTACAATAACCCAGGTGAAAAACTCTTACAGTCTCACACATGGAAACTGTACTTTTGTAAACTAACATTTGGCTTAAAATACTGAAAAGTACCGCAAAATAAGATATAGTACTACATTAATTTAAACAATTTATAATATAAATACCTTCATTTGTTTTGAAGAGGTTCAGAAGTTCATGATCAGGGTGAGTGATATGCTTGAGGCTGTATGCATTTACCTTTAAATGATCTACTAGTGATCAGTTCATGACATGTGTTCATGAAAAAACTCATTCTCACATCCCATCACTCATTCACCCTCACAGGTCATTACACACCCCCCCCCCCCAAATGCGCACACACTGGAAGAGCCAATGTTGACTTTACAATAACTTCAGCTACATAATTTATTGACGGTAAAACTGAGCCCTTTTCTTTTGACCTTTTAGTAGAGACTGCACTCGAGGGCCTGATTGCCTCAGTAACAAACCTTGAGAGTAGAAAAGCCTCTGAGCTAGACGACATATTGGAGATAAACATCCAGCTCCTAACACAGTTCTGTTCAGTCAAAGCTCTAACCCTGTGACCTTCCAGAACAGCTTTGTTCATTTCTAAAAAAAAAAAAAAAAAAAAAAAACGTACTGTCTCCACCATGCTGGATGTGCTTACATCAGTGGCCCATGGCCTTCAAACATCACTGGAGGAATAGAATGTTTTGGTTTTAATGGCCATCAACTCTCAAAGCAGTAATAACAATTTTGAACTGCCTTGTCCTTTATCTTCTCAGCTGTTGTTCTTTGATTAAGGTTGAGTAAAATCTCCAGCAGGTCATTCAGGCTGGCCTTTCTACCCTCTTGCTCCACCCAGATGTTCATCAGCTCATGGATCTTGTCTCCATAGGGAAGATGCTCTTTGCTTTTGATGTCATTGTCCGTTAGGCCAAGATCACGGAAGAACCTCCGGTGGTAGTCTATATCCAGATCTATAAAAAACTCAAAGCAGGCCTTAAGAGATGCGATACCTGAAAAACAAACATGAAACATCAGGGACTCCATCACGGTGAATAGTTGATGTAATAAAAACCTGTTTTCTAACCAGATGGGCTGACATCCGCTATGACCCTAGTGTTAAAAAGCTTTTTTCCAAGTAAAATCCATCAGAAGCGACTGGACCAACTTACATAATACTATGAATACAGTTGCTGCTCTGGTGTACCATGATTGGGATATATGGGAAAACCACATCTCATGACTCACGGTTTCAGTTAGGGCTGCTCAATTCATGGAATTTTAATCCTAATTATGATCCGAGTTTTGATCAATTATAAAACCAAAGCAAGCCAATTATTTGCTCCTCCCTCTTGCGCTGCCCCGAGTTGCTAATCAAGCGCTCCTCCCCACAGTGTTGCTGTTGGGTATTTTTATATCCTAAAATGAACCACACAGGAGAAAAGGGTCAGTAGGTTGGATACTGCGGAGAGAGGGGCTCAGAGCCTGTTAGGCCCTGCTCCAATCAACTCTCTGCACCACAGCTGGTTTTATTGAAACACAGGGAAAAAAGGACGAAGAACAAGCCATCACTGTCTACACTTAGCCAATAACAGTGTTGCTTCTACCTAAGGTGGGACATTCCAAAAAGGAAGTTTTAATTTATGACTGACAGCCAGAAACTCAGTAACCATGGATACCTGTTGCCCGACAGGCTATTGCCCAACCCCCATGCTTATCAGCTGCATACCAGAGCCAAGAGACAAAAGGAGAAAGAACTCTGTGGCTTACTTCACAACATAAGATTAACATATGATTACTTAAAAAGGAACATTTAAGACAGTAATACATTAAAACCCCTAACATCTCCTCACTGAAATGACTCTAAGTAATGAAAGATAAACTAAACAAAACTTGAGAACTTTTATGCCTCTTCAATGATAAAAGTCAGAGTCATACCAAAATATAAGTAAAAATGTTAACTTTTACTTAGCTAATAAGTGTGTTAAATAGAACCCTAGTAGAGATAAATGTAAAAAATAGAATGTAATAAGTAAAATAGAAAGTAATAATATAGAAAAATACATTTTCATACCAAAAGACTTGAGTAAGATCTTAACAACCCAAAGATCAACCATAAAAACTAAGTAATTAGGAATTATGATATACCTTACCTGTGCAAGATTTAGAATGTCCAAACAACCTGACGATTCAAGCTTAGCCAATAACCAGACATCAACACCTATATGTTATGTTGTGAGTAATTTAATATAGGTGTATCCTTATGAGGCCAGAACAGTCTCAATAAGAATTAAGTCACACAACGTTTTCCACAAATGCACACGTTCATTCGGAAATCCACATTCTGTGTTTCACAAATATAATTCGGAGGAACACAAATGCACACGCTCATTCGGAAATTCACACTCTTTGACTCATAAATATAATGTGAAAAAATAAGTCACGCAACATTTTCCACAAATGCACATGCTAATTCTGAAGTTCACACTCTGTGGTTCACAAATATAATTTGTAAGAACACTTGTAATATAAACTCAGATCATACGAATTGCTGAACGTGCATTTACGAACAGCTTCTCATTTGTGAACCTTTCTGCGTTTGTGAGTGAAATCTGTGTGGTGCATTCACGGACAGCTTCTCATTTGTGAACCTTCCTGCATTCGTGAGAGAAATCGGTGTGCTGAATTTTGAGACTCTCCTAACGTCGCAGGTCAACAAACGTCACCATTGGCTAATGAACCTGTCAATCAAATATATGCTTCTGCCAGGGCTGTTCGCTTTCAGCCAATGGCTCCTTATGTTACAGAACAGATCTGCTGTGCGCATAAGTCGGACACAATTTCCTGCATGTGTAGCTCGGGGGTGACGATGGATGAAGATATCGCGTTAGCGTTCATACTTGTTTAATTTTCAATTTTAATTCTGGTGCCTGTTAGCAGCTGCAACACATCCTCACGTGCTTGTGGATATCAAATATCGAATATGAAAACATGACTGTAATAATAAGTAAAGGTTAGCAGCTGTAGCTTCAGTGTGCTCATAGGAAACATGACAAAAGAACACAAACCACATTTCTCTTTATGGCCTATATAGTTGTCATCATTAACGTTACATGATTTACAGAATACATGTGACCAACTAACATTTCATGTTCTACCACCGGATGTTTGGATCAAAATATGAACCAATCAGATCTTAGATCAGGTGAGAGCCAGGCGTTTCCCATCATGCCCAAGGTTTTGCAGCCAAGGGAGAACAACTGCAGCGCCTTGCTCCAAAATCTGCGGCCGCCTTGATCTCAAGTGGTTATCGTTGCCTACGTATGCATGACGTCAGAGCAAGTCGGCGTCAAGTCGGACACAAATCTAACCGGTTACATTACATTACCAACGCTCCACCATATGGGTGGCCTCTTAATAATCTTATTCAGAAAAATTATGCATTTTTACTAAGTGAAAGCAAACCCGTTAGGGGCAGAGACCTCTTGAAGCTCATATTAAACATTGTCTGCAGAGAAGGTAAGAGAAGCTAGTAAATCATCAGGCCTATTCCATGGGAGTGACTCTGAAAAGGAGCAAAAGCTCCAGCTCTTTATCTTGGCAGGTGTCTCTATTCTCCTGTGTTCAGGCTTTTGGTTACATCAGTTACTTTTCCTTTTAATGAGCTGCATATATTTCTAACACAGCCTTCAGTGACATCAAGAAAAAAAACTTTTTAATTGTAAAAGACATTATTCTCATTCTAAGAACAAATGAACAAACTGTGTGTGGGTATGTGTGTCCAGTTGCAACTTAACACAGACTCAGAAGCATAGAGAATCTTCTCACAACACCTAATCATCCCTGGATCAAAAAACCAGTAGATAGAATCTTGTCATGTTATTCCATTTAATAAGTAGATGGACGGAGGTATAGTACAAGTTTTCAAGTGTAATGAAGATGATCGCAGGGTAACACAGTTCCCCTTAAATGTTGAGCAAAAATTATGAAACGAGACAAAATTCAAACAATAACATGTAAAAATAAATGGATCTCCTGATAAGTAGGTGCTTCACCTTTAAATGTTTTTATTAGAGCTGGATACACAGGAAGATGCATGTTACTAAACCAACACTAGCAATGATAGCACATTTACATTTTGAAGAATTGTAGCATAGATGAAGTGAACAGCAGCCTTTTCAAATACATTCCTGGTCTAAAATAAATCAGGCTGACAAAGACTTTAAGGAAATACACAACTATAAATGAATTTAGAAATCTATTTTGGGGTCTATCCTTTAGCATTTCATATTTACAAAGGCAAATCCCTTGAATAACAATATACAGTACATTAACCTTAAAATGGACCACTCCTTCACTTTTTAACTTCCTTCCTTCCTGTCTCATTAATTATTTTCTTTCTTCCTAACTCCCTACCTTCTCTCTCCTTCCTTCTTCACACATGTAATCATCTAGCCTCAAGTAAGTTCTCAACATACTGGACAGTGTGAAGATATGTGTCCACTCCCAAAAGAGTCTGAATGTTTCAACGGATTAATGTTGTCCTGCAGTTCCAAAATTTCATGATCTGTAAGAGGACTGTCCAGTACAGGGACACTGATCCCAGGATGAGGTTCAGTCATGTATCCATTCTCCTCCCATTCAATCTCTGGTACCGGTATACCCTGGAAAAGGAAAGTGTGTATGAGCATTGTGCATAATGAATCTCAAGAAAACACATTTAATAAAGCCCTATCATGACCTTTTAACAATTACTTAACATCAATGATTTCAGGCAGAACCTAGCATCTCCATTATTTCATAAATTATTATTTTTTTAATTAATGGGCTACTTTTATGTTAAAACAGCAGTGAGAATATCACATCTGGAAGGTCTAATGCCTTGCATTTTGAACTTGCAGATGTGTCATGACTTTGTAATGTCATGACATTATAGTTGAGTGTCCATTTCAGTAGAGGTGCACACAAACAGAACTGTAATTTCAACAGCCATTTTGTCTTGAATCCAAGAAGCATAGAGCAGAGGTAGATTATCAAAGTGTTGAACATTTGATTTATAGTTAAGGATCAACTTGACATGTGATCAGTCATTTTAACAGAACATACATTTGCCCCTGGATCAGAAACAGGATTCAGAGCCTGGCCCAGATGCCACAGCTGATTTGGTGTCATGTTTTCCTCTGTCCTGATTGGATGGTTGTCCCACGCATCTCTAAAGACATCCAGGCTGGCCTGGATGCGAGACAAGAAAATATAGTGGCAACAAAACATGTGAAGGATGTTACTGATGTCGAGCAAGTCTTGGTCTTCCAGAGAGTGCAGGATGTTGTAATATAGACCAGTCACACTCATGAAGACATCACGCCACAGGCGCTCGATCCTGGATTTGGAGGGGGATTAAATAAAAGAAAATTATAATATACACACACATTTACATGTCCATACATCCGTTTTCAACTTGAGTTATCTTTTGAATGGTCGCAGGAGGACTGGTGCCTATCTCTAGCAGTCAAAGTGTGAGACGAAGGGTGCACCCTGGGCAGGTCAACAGGCACAGGCACGCGCGCACAGACACAAAGCTTCCAAATTAGGTTAAACTCACCGTTGATTGTGTACACTTTTTCCTGCAATGAAGCTGTTGGTGTCAGTTCCACGAACTGAGAACATTAATTCTGCAACACCTACATTTTCTCCGCCATGATCTCCTCTCACCATGAAAAAAAAACATTAGAATCTTGCTTCAAACATTTTTAATGCACATCTATAACAATCTACATCAATTTGAGTCTCACAGAAATTTCCTTATGTACCTTGCTACTAAGTGAGTAAACAATGTGGCATTATTAACCCTCTGCTGGGGAAATATTTTTTGAAAGAGGGAAATGTTCAACCCCCCCCACCCCCCTAGATTTTACTATATGACCTCAAATGGCATGTTATCTTTGGTCAATAACACACTTTAGGCAAAAGCAGATTTGTAACAGGGTAACAGAGGGTAAAGTTGGGAATAACA